TGTTTAAAAATCATATCACCGTTATTGAAAAAAATTATATCGCGATACATATTGATATTGAATTATTGTCCAGCCCTACAAGTAAACAATAAGTACTAAAAATCAATAAAACAAAACAAAAAACTATTATGCATGACAAGAAATTATATATCTTTATAAAAGTTTACAATTTTTCTTTATAAAGACATTGTCATCATCACTCAAAATCACGTGTAAAAAATAATAATTAATATTTTTTAGTATTTGTTACATTTAAAACTTATTTATAAGATGATTTAATCAATGTTATTTTAGTATAATTGAGATACTAATATAGTTTTCAGTATTTTGGATCCATTTTTATTTTATATAATTTTTAAGATAATTGTATTTTTATATTTACATTTTAATTTAAGTTAAAGTTTTAGTAATTTAAATTTAGTAATTTTATTGTGTTTTTGTCATATTAATTGTTTTTATATATATATATAAAAACAATTAATATGACAAAAACACAATAAAATTACTACATTTGATTTAATTTATTTTTAATAAATAAAAATTAATAAAAACTAATATATATATATAGTTTTTATTCATTTTTATTTCATTTTTAGTTTTTGTTATTTATGTCAAGTTAAACTTAATGAGATAAAATAATTTTCATTTTAAATATGTTTTATGTATTATTTCAGTTAAAGTTTATTTTATTTAAATTAACACAAATATTTTTAATAGTTTGAATTTTAGTTTAATAGCCTAATTTATTTAATAATAACAACTGTATTTAATATTTAAAACATACCTAATCCATGTCATAAATAACTTATTCAGATGCAAAATTGGACCTGTCTTTGCAATGACAGACAATGCACGCAGCAATAATTTGACAAAAGCACACAAACAGGCTGTAGCTGATGAGAATGTGCTGGGTGGGAAACACTGCCGCGAGTCACGTGAAAGATCTTTAAGTGTCTTTTAAGTGTTTTTGCGGCGAGCGCTCCTGAAGTGTCAGTAGCAGTATGTTAAACAAACATTCCCACACAATAGCGGCATGTCGCCACCTAAAGCAGGGAAAAAAGACAGGAAGCTGTAAGCGCGCTTCCTGAATCAGCAACTGGCGACGACATGCAAGAAAACATGCAGAATTCACTGGGGTTTCCTTTCTTATGGACACACACACACACACCTGATAGTTTGCTCTGCTGACTGGCATAACTTGAGCTGCGTGAATGACCCGTGTGAAACGATTCATCAGGACTTTGACCCTGATCCACCTCCTCAGGAAGAGCTAAAGAACAAAAAGAGACAGAATAAATCATTCAAAATGACCACAGAAATACTGCACTGAAAATCAACAATGATACCACTAACAAAAGAACATAAACATGAAGTTTACTGGACATATGCTTTGAAATATGTGACCCTGGAGCACAAAAGCAGTGTTAAGTCGCTGGGGTATATTTGTAGCAATAGCCAACAATACATTGTATGGGTCAAAATTATTGATTTTTCTTTTATGCTAAAAAATCATTAGGATATTAAGTAAAGATCATGTTTCATTATTTTGTAAATTTCCTACCATAAATATATTAAAACTTAATTTTTGATTAGTAATATGCATAGCTAAGAACTTCAACTTTAAAGATGATTTTCTCAATATTTAGATTTTTTGCACCCTCAGATTCCAGATTTTCAAATAGTTGTATCTCAGCCAAATATTGTCCTGACAAACCATACATCAATGGAAAGCTTATTTATTCAGCTTTCAGATGATGCATAAATCTCAATTTCGAAAAATTGACAATTAAGACTAGTTTTGTGCTCCAGGGTCACATATTAGGATTTCATTATTAATCATACTACCACTGTCTCTCTTTCATGTCTGTGATATAATACACCGTTAATGACATGTGACTTTACCAGAGCCGAGTATAGAAGGTCTCTGTTTAGTCAGTCGGAGCAAAACTTCAGCGGTTCCTTCTCCTTTACAGTCCAGCTGCAGGGAAGCATCTCGACCGGCCACAGATATACATTTGGCGGAGCTTGGCGGACTAATTATACACAAGAAAGACTTTCTGACGCTCATGAAATCAGTAACATTGCTCATTATGTTTGTTGTACTGTCGTTTATCAGCCTGAAGGAGGCACAGCAGACAGTGAAAAGCCACACACTCACGTTTTGAAGCACGGATCTCCAGATAAGAGGGTCATTCCGATGTTCACCTTCAAAATGACAGGAAAGAACATATTCGACTTTCAATAACTTACTCCCTTAGACTTCAATTTAAAGTTTTTGAAGCAAGATGGAGCCCAGGTTCAAGAAAATTACATAACCACGAATAACAAATCATGCAGGAGAGAGCAGAAATGAAACAATCACATAATCACATATTTGGAGAGTTATTGTTTTCTCTTTGTTCATATTAAACATGTTAAGTTTCTGTTTTCTTTCCTTTATTTATAAAAAAAATGTTCTTGAATTTCTGTCTACTGTCCCTTGTATTTATGCCCCTGTTGGCTTGATTTTAAAAATGTTAAGTTTCTGTTTTATTTTTTTTAATTAATTAATTAAAGTCTTGCATTTCTGTGTACTGTCCCTTGTATTTCCATCCCTGTTGGCTTGATTTAAAAAATGTGAAGTTCCTGTTTTTATTTATTTATTTTCATTTATTTCTATGTATTTGTTTATTTTCATTTTATGGATTTATTTATAATTTTAAATACATTTTTTGATTTTCTGTCTTCTTTCCATTGAATTTGCACCTCTGTTGGCTTGGTTTTAAAAAGGTTAAGTTTCTGTTTTATTTGTATATTTTCATGTATTTTTATGCATTTATTTATTTTAATTTTATGTATTTATTGAATTTCTGTCGACTGTCCCTTGTTTTTGCTCATTGGCTTGATTTTTACAAATGTTCAGTTCCTGTTTATTTATATATTTTCATTTTTTTTTCTGTTTATTTTTATTTTATTTATTTGTTTGTTTTACATTCATTTATGTCTACTGTGCCTTGTATTTGTATGTATTCATTTTATTTTATTTCTTGAATTTCTATCTACTGTCTCTCGTATGTGCACCCCGTTCAGCTTGTTTTGTTATGTTAAGTTTCTGTTTTATTCATGTATTTTCATTTATTTCTTTTTTTAATTAATTTCTTGCATTTCTGTCTACTGTCCCTTGTATTTTTTAACCTGGCTGGCTTGATTTGAAAAAAAGTTTCTGGGGCTTTTCTTTCTTTCTCTCTTTTTTATTTATTTAAAATGAACTTCTTGAATCTTGTATTTGCAGCCCTGTTGGCACTTTTAATTTTATGTCTTTGTGTCACTTGCTAGAAAATGCCGTTTCTAATATGTGACCGTGGACCACAAAACCAGTCATAAGGGTCAATTTTTCAAAATTGAGATCTGAAAAAGCTGAATAAATAAGCTTACCATTGATGTATGGTTTGTTAGGATCGGACAATATTTGGCCGAGATACAACTATTTGAAAATCTGGAATCTGAGGGTGCAAAAAAATCAAAATATTGAGAAAATCATCTTTAAAGTTGTCCAAATGAAGTTCTTAGCAATGCATATTACTAATCAAAAATTAAGTTTTGATATATTTACGGTAGGAAATTTACAAAATATCTTCATGGAACATGATCTTTACTTAATATCCTAATAATTTTTGGCATAACAGAAAAATCAATAATTTTGACCCATACAATGTATTTTTGGCTATTGCTACAAATATACCCCAGTGACTTAAGACTGCTTTTGTGCTCCAGGCTCACATATATGAGATAAATGAGTTTAAAACGACAACAAAAAAAATAGTAATGCAGTGTGTGAGCTGGCGTTTGACCTCTGACCTTCAGGATGGAGTTGTCCTGCCGGGTGTTCTTGGTGTCGTATCCCTCCAGCAGACAGCAGCGCGCGGTGGAGCCTGAGCCAGCAAACTCCGCCATGTTCAGATCAGCAAAGCCCAGCTGAGAGGATCACACACACACACACACACACACACACACACACACACACACACACACACACACACACACGGATGACATTTGCTTTTGTTTATAAGCACAGGATTCCCATCATGCCATGCCAAATGTGAAATATGTGCTGATTATAGTTTGGCAGCGTATAGAGCATATGCTGCACATCAGACTCGTTCCCTCCTGCTCTTTCTCAGCCAACAGTTTGTTGAATCTTTGCCTTTCAAAACTAATTCGATTCTAAGTTTGAACCGTGCTACAGTGGAATACCGGATCCGTCCATACAGGAATATCACAGTCATGACACAATGAATCATATGTTTCCCAGAATAATCCACTTCCTTATATTTCTGGAAGTAATTGGTGAGTTTGCTTTGATAAGCCTCTTTCATTCATTATTTGCTATATTGACACCAGCGAAGCGTCAATCCTGTTCCACGTCTGAGAGTCCGGTAAATGTTTAGTAGACGGCTGCTAGTTAAACATCCTGTTGACTTCTTGTCACGTCTCAGTGGCTCCACGAGGGTTCATTTCCCTGAACACCTACCGCTACCAGATGCATTTATTTAAAGAGACCTTCTCCTGCGGAGCATGAGTATTTTTAGATCGGGGGAAATCCAAACTTAGCCCTGCTGCAGGAGAAAATACAAGGAAAAGTTGATTAACTGCCAAAGAATGAAGCATTCCCACCTCTGTGCGCTATCTAGGGCACTTCTGGGTAACGCCGGGTCACCGCGAGTTTGAATGGTCTTTTATGTGAGCGGTAATAAGCAATGCTTATGTAAGATAAGCGTCACATGCCTGAAACCTGCGGTCAAATGACCATGGCATCATAATGAGCGATTAAATCTTATGACAAGCCAGACTAATGAGTTTACAACATCAAGGCAAGGTGAGTTAGTGCCTCCTGTACACGATAATGCTGTAAAGTGTAATGTTTTGTTGCCTGTAGAGTGTTAATGTGATGCATGACTCCAACTATACCTTGTGAAGGCCTTTCACGTGATGCATTGAGATCACCTATCGACTAGAGTTTATGAGATTTATTTTAGGAGGTTTATACGATTTTAATGTGTCGCAGGGACGTCGAGAGAAAACCAAGAGTTTGCAAAAGCAATGCTTTATGGTGCAATCAAAAGTATTTCAAATTAGTAATCCAATGACTAATGAAAATATCAGAGAGGCAGTTTTAAGCCTTTTATAAATTACATTTGCTATTTCACTGTTTGATTTTGAATTGACAAAGCTACTTCTGACATATTGTGATGGAAAAACAAGATGCAAGAGAGACCAATCCTGTGCATATTTAAAGCATATTAAAGGCATATCATGACATTGAGATAATAATCGTCCCTATATTACACACTGTAGATATTTTACGCGGATTATGATGATGATGACTGACTCATACAATACTCTAGCATTTAAAAGTTTGGGGTCTGTAATATTTTTAAATGTTTCTGAAAGTCTCTTCTGCTCATCGAGGCTGCATTTATTTGATAAAAAATACAGTAAAAACAGTAATATTGTGAAATATTATTACAATTTAAAATAACCGTTTTCTATGTGAATATATGTTAAAATATAATTTATTTCTGTGATCAAAGCTGAATTTTCAGCATCATTACTCCAGTCTTCAGTCTCACGTGATCCTTCAGAAATCATTCTCATACGCTGATTTGCTTCTGATTATTATCAATGTTGAAAACAGTTAATAACTGCAGAATATTTTATTTTTCAGGATTCTTTGATAAACAGAATGTTCGAAAATTTCTATTTGAAATAGAAATATTTTGTAACATTATAAATGTCTTTACTATCACTTTTGATCAATTTAATTGATCCTTGCTGAATAAAAGTATTAATTTCTTTCTTTAAAATAAATGAAATAATTACTGACCCCAAACTTTTGGGGGTTAAAACTTTTTCATTTTAAAGAGATTTAAAGAGATAAATAGTTTTAGTAAGCCTCTGAACGAATGTTAAATTGCATCTCATATATATATATAAATGTTCTATATATAAATGTACTTAAAGGAAAAAATGTGGACGCTTTCACTCACCTTTGAATAAGCTTTTCCTCCTTTGAGTTCCTGTAATGAAAACAGGAAGAGTGTGAAGTTCATTGACGGGACAGAACGGCATCAATGTTTATCCCAACACACCTTCATGAGCAACGCTTCCAGCTGACGAAAAACTTCGCCTTTAATTTGAGTTCCAAGTTCAACTCAGACCCTGACCTCGCTTCAGTGAGCCCAAAGCATGAAGAATTCATCTTACCTTCCTGACAGAGACGCGACACACGCTGGGGTCCAGAACGCCGGTGTTGGGGTTGGCGCTCATTTTGCAAACAAAGGAGAACCTCTTCCTCCAGCGAACGGCGTTCTGGTGGACCTCTTCTCTGTGGGCGACAGAACAAAGATCCAGGACTGTTATTTCAGACACATGCCTCGAGTCTGAACGCTGATGATATGTTGATGTTGGTTGTGATATCGACTCTCTGCTAATGTTTCAAGCTGTGGGTCTGTTTGTAATGGCTGTTCGAGGCAGTTTGCGATTGGAGAAGATCCAGACCTTCAAAGGCTAGGAACTAGGGCTGCACAATTAATCAAATTTCTAATCGCGATTACAATTATGGATGCCACAATTACGTAATCGTTCAAAGCGGCAATTAATCGTTCAAAGTCCACTTATGTTATTCTGCGTGCTTAAGATGCGTTTACATGTTATCTTAAGGGTTTTTCCCATTATTTTAATTTTAGTTTTAGTGTAACATTATAATACCATTCATATTTTTACTTTTTTATAATTTAAAGAAGAAACCAATCCGATGTATAGTTGACATTTGAGGCTTAATACTATAGAAAAGCACTAAAAGTTTTTCAGTTAGAGTGTTTTCAGCTTGTGTATTTTCATATAAAAACACGGCATGCAGTTGCATCAAACAATGGTATAAACATCATTCAATGTAAATTGTGATAATCGTAATTAATAAATCGCAATTACAATTTCAACGGAATAATCGACAATTATGATTTTTGTCATAATCGTGCAGCCCTACTAGGAACTGTCCTCAACTAAACCGAAGGGAGTTTGTTTCAATATAACGTTTCGTTAATAGAGTACATGTGCTCAATGATTAGTCAATGACTAGTCAGGCACTAAAATGAGTTTTTACAGAAACACTGAAAATTAAAGTTTTCATTTAGCAGAAAATGTAAAAACAACTAAAATCTTAAAATAAAATTGATTTCATAATCAACACTCAGACATTTCAATTGCACTCAAGGCAGTTTTCATATCCACGTCTTAATGATATAACCATTTTCTATTTCAATTCGCAGTTGCAATATAAACATTTAAATGGTGACTAATAAAAACTAGAATTCATGACAGATTCAAACATACACGAGCTGCTGAAGACATCGCTAACAGGTGAAGTAAAATATAATGAATATGTAATATAGTGCATATATTCATCTATATCATTTTTTTTCTAGCAAACTAACAAGTTTATGCACGTTGAACGGCTTTCCTGAGGTAAATGTAACGTAACTTATTGTTTGCAAGCTGCGTTATTGGCGCATTTCCACCATTAAAACACTGAATGCTTGATTATATGAGACAATACATTTCATCTTTCAACATACCTTCTGATGTTCATTCGTGTTTATTTCGTGTTATAACTAGTAGTAAAGAGGAACAGATGGTCGGTTGACTTGTACCGATCTGTCAAGTCGCAAAAAAACATCAAAACGACATTTATTGCTTGTATTTCGTTATAAAATCTACAATCAATTAATCAATCGAATTGATTTAATAACAAACACACAGACATTTAAATTGCAAATAAGATAGTTTTATATCAACTTAATGATATAACCATGTTTCTACTCCAATTCGCTGTTGAAATCCAACGTATTAAACCATGGCTGTAATAAAAACTTGTTTTCATGACAGATTTATTCAAACATACATTAGTTCATGAAGACATCACTGACAGGTGAAGTAAAATATAATGAATATGTAATATATTTTGGTGCATCACTAGTTCTTACCCGCTGAAGACTGCAAACATACGGGATGGGAATTAGGTTCACAAACACAGCACTTATTTACTATATAAATACACAAGCGTCAAGTCAAATATATACGCAAACACATTCACACAAACTCATGATTGTCTTTGAGAATGTAAAGAGAAGCATGAACAAGCAGTACTGAATATTCGTGAGCTTCTGACCATCTGCTATGCAAATATACATCTAATAATACGACTGAGGAAAGCCATCCCAGCAACTTTCAGTTTTTCATAAGAAACCACTGAGGTATTAGTTGACTTTAAATTACAATGGCAAATGTTGCATTAATGAAAACAGTAAGCAATCGCCTAGCAACCACCCAGAATGCCCTAGCAACCGCATAGCAACGTGCTAAAACCACACAGAACTTCTTAGAAACCTCATAGGTTTCTGGGAATCCGGGTTTGAGTGGATTTGCTAGCAACTGGATAAAATGAACCTGTTGAATGCTATTAAAACGGTATGTCATCATGGAGTTGGTGGATATAAACACACACGAGAGATCAGAGCATCTCCTTCTACAAAACATTCAGAATGCTGTAATGTGGCTTATCGCCAGCCACGGCATCTGTTCCTAATCCTTCTTCACACACACACACACACACACACACACACACACACACACTTCATACCGCACTGAGGAGTGGCATTAGTGTGACTCAGTTTCATCTTCTCGGACTAAAACAAACTTCATACATGTTTTCTTACACTCACACACACATTCATCTACATGAGGACACACACCACCACACACTTGTTTTATATAAAGCTAATTAACTAGAGACTGACCCAAACCAAAACCCTGTACTCTGTTTGGGGCCTCAGAGAGACTGTGGCATTTAATAACTCAAGCATACTTAAAAACACACTTAAAATGTGTTTTAGGGGTTGAACAGAAACAACTTAACTAGAAATTAAAAACATAACTAGTCATATTTGTCAAGTGCATGTGTAGCTTCTGATTCCACAGATGGATTAAAGCTTCAATAACGCCTGTTAAATGGGTTTTATGAGGTCAGACACTCTTAATGTATAACAAGAACTTTAAGGGAGAAAAACTGTTAAAACAATACAAATTTATATATAAAATTTAATGAAATACTATATATATATATATATATATTTTTTTTTTTTTTTTTTTTAATGTACACTTTTAATCAGCAAGGATGCATTAAATGACAGTAAAGGCATTTATAATGTTACAAAAGATTTCTATTTCAAATAAATGCTGTTCTTTTGAGCTTTCTATTCATCTGAGAATCCTGAAAAATAAAATGTATCAGTTTCCATAAAAATATGAAGCAGCACAACTGTTTTTGATAGAACATTTTGATAGATTTTTGACTGAACATTGATATTATAATAATCAGTAATGTTTCTCGAGCAGCAAATCAGCATATTAGAATGATTTCTGAAGATCATGTGACACTGAAGACTAATTAGTAAATATATTTTTCATTTATTTTGAATATGCAATTTTGATTTAGTTAGTTTTTTATTATATTTGTATTAATTACATTTTAAATATATATATATATATTTTTATACATTTTATTTATTAAATTAGTTTTTAAATTATAATTTGTAATTATATCTTTCGGTGTATGTTTATACATAATTTATATATAATTTATCATTTGTATTTATTAGTTTTAGTTTATTTCGTGTTTTTTATCATTTCTAATTATATTTTTTTACGTATATTTCTATATATAATTCATAATTGTTATTATTTTATTATTATTTTAGTTTATTTAGTTTTGGTAATTATAATACTTCTAGTTAAACTAAACTAAAAATAAGAAAAGTTTCCTTGGCAACTAGCTGAAATAAAAAAAAAGTTTTAGTTTTTTATATTTTATTTTATATTAGTTAATGTTTAGTTTATTTCAAGTAACGTTTTTTTATATAATGTTAAGACATTTTTTAATGGTTTTAGTGTTAATATTACTACAGTGTTATTTTTATTAGTTTTTTAATATATTCAACTTTTTTTATTGGTTTTTATTAATTTTTATTTCAGTTGTAGTTTTAGTTATTTTAATACATCAATTTATTTCCGTTGCAACCCTTCAATTTTATTTTATTTAAAGTAACAAAAATGTTTTTTTATGGTTTTAGTTTTAGTTAACTATAATAACTCTGGTTTTAGTTAACGATTGAGATATATATATATATATATATATATATTAACGCTAATAACCCTGACTTAGGGTTAAATTGCAATGCATTCAAAATCAAACTTTATCTATCAAATGCACAAAAATAAAGCATCCAGCAGTAACTACAAAAAAAAACTAAAGATTGAAATCACAACACAGAGCATCTGACTCTTAGTGAAGACTCACTTCCATGACAATGATCTAATAAGAAATGTATTTAATATGCATCACAACCCTCTCCCTCAAGCTGACTGATCAAAACAGGAAGTGATAGCCGGAGCATCCAATAAATGAAGTGCTCGTTCTCTCAGCCTGAACCCGCTCTCCTCCAGATGGGATGAGGAGGACCAGCTGTGTGCAGACATCCGACCGGAGCACCGGAGTCACCGGGCCCAGGCCCCGCAGCAGCACAGGGGCCAAATCAGATTCTGGAGAGGAAGTTGGTTTAATAAGGCCCCTGGTTCACATCAAACACAGGCCCATATGCAGTGCTCAAACACTGACACATGCTGAGAGAGCTTTTGTGCTCAACTCCACACTATAAACAGATGAGATTCAACCAGCACTGATGCTGATAGACAAAAACTATCATTAAAAGTAAGAAGCATCATTATTTATTAATTCATGCATTCATGATGTCCATTGTCTAGCATTGAAGTGACCTTGCTGATTTGCCTATTTATTAATTTGTTTTAGAATTATTCATATTATTATTTATAATAATAGTCATATATTTTTATTATATGTATATAATTTGTGACCCTGGACCACAAAACCAGTCATAAGTAGCATGGTTATATTTGTAGCAATAGCCAAAAATACATTTTATGGGTCAAAATTTTATGCCAAAAATCATTAGGATATTCAGTAAAGATCATGTTCCATGAAGATATTTTGTAAATTTCCTACCGTAACTATATTAAAACTTCATTTTTGATTAGTAATATGCATTGCTAAGAACTTCATTTTGGACAACTTTAAAGGAGATTTTCTCAATATTTAGATTTTTTTGCACCCTCAGATTCCAGATTTTCAAATAGTTGTATCCAAATATTGTCCTATCCTAACAAACCTTACATCAATGGAATAAAAAATATTTATTCAGCTTTCAGATGATGTATAAATCTCCATTTTGAAAAATTGACACTTATGACTGG